TTTCCCTTTGTATCCCTGCTAGTGATGGCAAGATTCTTCAGAAACTACATCCATTGAAAGACCTACTGTTGTTTGGTTTAAGCAGTTAGTTTTCTTTGACTTTAATTTTAGAAGTCCGGAATATCCTTATAAATTAATTTTGCATGTAAACACATACATACATTTTAAGTTTTTTTTTAATGATACAGATAATTTCTAACAGTCTTTACTAAAAAATTTACGTATATTTGGCATTTTAGCTAGGATTTTTAAAGAGTTTTGTAACTTACACAGATCTGATGTATAGTATTAATATGTATAGCTTCTAGTTTTTCAAACGAGAATGTGTTTGGTAGTAATTATAGTATCTAATTGTAGGTAAAGGTAAAGAGATATAACCACCCCCAAAGAATCTGTACAAAACCCTGCACATGGAGAATTTTCTTATCTGTAGTTATTGCTGTCCTTTGGTATAATTGCATCTTATACTTGTGGTCTCCTCATTCTGTTGCTATGTCTGTGTTCTCAGCCAGGTCACATTATTGGAAGCTGTGATTCACAAGTTTGAAAAAAAAATTTCTTATGCCTTTTTATTTTATGGTTACCCTACTTTAATTAATTAATTATATATATATATATCCCTACGTTTGTAGTATGGAAAATGAAGTGCTGTTTTTCCCTCCTCATAAGCACTACGTTGTTCATGCATTGTTGTGAGGAGAAAAACAATTTACAAGTTTTTAGATTTGAAACGATTAAAATTGTAGTTAAAGATCTGATTCTGGTCATTGATTAGAGTTGTTGGTAGCTTTGGAAAACAAACAAAACTGGTTGTTCATTGTAGACTTCCCCCTCCAGGAGCTAATTGTTAATGTGAAGGCTTCCGACCTAATAACTACCTCAATAGTCATAATGATTAAGACAAATTTATATATATATGTAAATTAACCCTAAGAGGAGTTCTTAAAATCTGAAATGTTTATCAACTTTGGTCCAAATAAATATACCTAAGCTTGTGGCAGAAGTAGCTGTCTAACACTATGTAGGAAAAGGCTAAATTTATAGCTTCTAAACAATAGTGGATTTAGAATATGAAATATTTTATTTGTTTTAGCTAGTGCTCTCATGTTACAAGGGGTTTCCAATTTGGGACATTAGGTTTACGTAACTTAATAAAAGCTAGTGGGTTTTTTTGACACATAGAAAAGAAAATATGTAATAGGTATGTGAATTATGATGAACAGTATACATTGGTGAACCCTTTGTCCAATCTCAGAAATAGAACATTATCAGCACTACTTTTGAGATATACTGGCTATGAATGTCTTACTATCCTGCTCACCCCTAAAAGGTGAATTCATTTGATGTTTTAAGGAATAATTTTTGCCATGAAATTTTTGTTGTTATTTATTATTTTTGAGCTTTATAAAAATGGTATACTGTGAACTCTTCTTCATCTTGCCTTTTTTTTTTTAACTCAGCTTTGTTTTTAAGAGTCATTGATTTGGATGGATGTAGCTTTGGTTCATTTTCACTGTGAAATAATGTTACATTTAATAAAATACCAGAGTTTAAGTGTTCTTGTCTTCTGTCAATGAATCCCTGAATTGTTGAAAGGTTTTTGCTCTTTTGAACAATGTTGCCTTAAATGTTCTTTTATATGTCTTCTAGTGTGCACGTCCAGAACTTTCTCTAGAGTATGCAGCTAGAAATATAATGCTAGATGGTAATGTATGCATTTGTTCTATAAGCTTAGGAATAAACGTGATTACACCAATGTAAATTCCTAGCAGCATTCCTTTCCCTCTAAATTTGGTATTATCAGTCTTAGTTTTTGCCAGTCCAGTATATAAAATACTATTCTGGTTTTAGTTTGTGAGCTCACCTTTATTACCAATGAGGCAAAATATCTTTTGACAGATTTCATTATTTGCCATTTGTATTCCCTCTTTATATTATAGCTTTTGTCTTTTTTTTCTATTAGACAGTTTGCCTTTTATGAAAATGATTAGTAAGGAGTTCTTTATATTTTCTGTATCTTTTGCCATTTATATGTTTTGGAGTTTCTCCTTCAAATTTGTATCTTTTTGCTTTCTCTATAGTGCCCTTTGAACAGAAATCCTTAATTTTAATGTTGGTGATTTTACCCAGTTTTAAAAAGTGATTAGTGCTTTTGGGTTCTGTTTTTAGATTCTTCTTGTACTGTGAGTTTTTTTTTTTAAGTTTTCCTGTATATCTTTCTAAAACTTTTAAAAGTTTGCTATAACTATTGAATCCATTGAGAACTGACACTTTTGTGTGGTAGGTGGTAGGAATTCAATTTCATCTTCCTTACATTGATAGCCAAATGTCCCAGGACCACTTATTAAATGATCTATCCTTTCCTCATTGATCTGTAGTGCCACCTATTTCCATATATGCTTGGGTGTGTCTCTGAGTTGTGTATTCTATTTCCATCAATCAATTTCTTTATCCCTAGGCCAATACCATACTGTCTTAAAAACTGTAATCATTGAATTAGAATATCTGGTAGGGAACTCAACCTTCACCTTTTCTTCTTCAAAGTATTGTGGCTCTTTTTGTTACTTTTATTCTTTAATATAAATTTTGAAGTTGTTTTTTCAAGTTCTTCAAAAACCTTGTTGGACTTATGATGGAGATTGCATAGAATCTGTAGATAAATTAAGGAATAATTGATAGTTTTATGATAGCATTTTCCTTTCTGTGGTCTATGTAATTAGGTCTTTTTAGATGTGTTTCAGGATGATTGTATCTTTTCTCCATAAAGATCTTTTAAAATTTTTGGTTAGATTTATTCCTAGGTACTTTATATTTTGTTGTTATTGTATCTCTTTCAACTTTTTTATTTTTAGCTGTTGTCAATGGATACAAAGACAAAATTTTGTTCTTTGATCTTACAGCTAACCACTTGGTAAACTAATTTAATATTTCTCCTTTGAAGCATTTCCCTGGTTGTTATAAGTGTGTCTTATAATGTTCTGTAGTTCTAAAATAGTTCATTCCAGTTGCTCTTTGTGGCTCAGTTTTTACTTTGGTGAAGGGACTGATTTCTAGATCTTCCTACTCCTCCTTTTGTGTCAGTGATGTCTTTAGAAGTACAAATGTTTTAAATTTAAGCCTTGTTCATCTTTTTTTTTCTTTTATATATCATGCTTTTTTTTTGTCACGTTCAAGAATTCTTCAAATAAATCATGGTGACAAAGTTTTTCTCCTGTGTTTAGCATGGTTGGAAGTCAAACCTTTGGAGTGGAGGCATGCCATATAGGGGCCTTAAGGGGAAGCATGGGTTGGTGAGAACTATTTGAGGAGTGTCGGTGAGCTGTGTGGAGCTTACAAAGAGGATTGGTGCATCAGTACTGGCATGAAGTCTTTAGGGTGCTGGTTTCCATGTTAACAAGGCTGTGGGAAAGCCATCTCCAGGATGAATCGCTGAGGCTGCAAGTTTGCTGAGGGACTTCATGTTCTGGGCATATGACTGAGCAGAGTTCTACTGGATGTCCTTACACCCAAACTACTGACCCACTCTGCAGCAACTGGAAACCACAGGAGAGCAGACCCCCTTTCTCTTGCAATGTCCCTTCAGTGCCATCTATTGAGAAAGCTAAACAGTTTCATGTTTATTTTAAAAGAAGAAATGCTGAAAGGAATTCTGTTATCATAGAGCATATATTACAGGGTGAATATGGAACTAAGAGGCAATAAACTGACAGGCAGCACACAAGATACCAAATATTGTTTAAAAAAATAGGCCATCCTTTGCAGCATAAAATTTTGTTATAAATATACCAGTCCTCAGTATAATCATTATTGAAAACCTCCAACCTAGAGAGCTTATAAAATAAAGAATTGAGTTACTATATATGGTCTCTGAGGTGAAACCTCTATAGAGTTTGAGTAGAAATTGGTCTAAATTGTCGTTGATTCACTTCCATTGCACACTCAAGGAAATTAGAGTGTTTCTTTAAGTTACTATTGATCAGCCCACATTCTTTTGTAGGAGCCTTTAATACCTTTCTAAACTTGAAGAATAGCCTTAACATTATACATTAAAAACTTACTTCCTTTTTACCACAATACTGTACTTTTAAGAACAGATGTATTTATATGATACTTTAAGTGTAGACAAACCAAGTTATTTGGTACTTCAAATAATTTGTAACCGTAAGTGTATGTGCAAATTTAAAATTTTCTTAATGAGCATTTATATCACAGCTTATATGAAGGGCTGATATTCAGTTGGACTCATCAGTACCTTTCTCATTGGTCCGTGGTGCCCTGGCTTTCTGTGTTGATGAATACATATTTTGAATATCATTCCTACTTACATGTGCAGTAGATACTTAATTTGGTTTTTAAGGACATGGAGATAATAAGTAAAATCCTCGATCCTTGTGCAGGTTTTCTTTGTATTTTCAGTGACAGATACTTTCTTCCCTGGTTACATATTGACTCTTTCGCAGTAAGCTTTTCTTGTACCACATATCTGTCATAGGAAAAATAATTTACATGTACATATATTATAGCAATGGATGCTCAGTAGATACCCTTTTATTATAAACAGTAACAAATTATTACTGGAAATAATTAAATAATATTTTCCCCAAAGATTGTATTACTTAATCTTTTGCCTGTTGTATACAGGTTCCCTTTAACTTTTTAGTTTTCAGATTATTGACTTGTATTGTCAAGTACATGTATAGTCAATTCTGATATATTTTGTAGCTGATTCAAGGCAAATATTTATATTTAATTTATAGTTGTCATTTTTCTCCCAATTTATTTATCTCTCTAATATCTCTGTTGATGATTCTTCTAATATTTCTATATAAGCCAAATAGTTTTAAATGAGTCTTGTTAGTCTCATAATAGTATAAGTAGTAGAAATAATTTTATTTAAAAGAATTTTGTATTTATCTTGGGAATAATCATTCTTTAAAAACTACTATTAAGTGGTTCCCTGGTAACCAGAAACACAATTCATGTAACTTTCTGTGTTTCAGAAACCTTTTTCCAAAAAGGACAAAGGAACTCAAATCAGTTGTACATAGTGCTCCTGGTTGGAAATTATTTGGTAAAGTCCCTCCCAGAGAGAATCTTCAGAAAACTTCCAAAATCATTCAGCAGGTAAGTACTAGTATAGCCGTATGGTTTGTCTTAGCTTTCCAAAAAGCTTTTTCTAGATAATTAACCATATTCTACTCTCATTCATATTTTTATATATAACATTTTAGGATTACAGATATTTGTAGTAACCTTAATTTTTGTTTTAACACAACACATTTTCAGTTATCTTTTATGGTTGTGAAAATTCTTTACAATAATTGAACATTGATTTCCTTTCCTAGTTATTCCTAGGATAGATTCTTTTTTTTTTCTTCGCCAGCCATTCTCACCACATACTTTGACTTCTAATTGAACATGGTAGCATTTGCCAATGGCACAGATTTTATGGATAACGATTCTTGTGAACTGATGAAATAGTATACAGTGAAAACTGAGTGGATTTTGAGATTGAACTCTTTCCTTTGTCACTTTTCTGGTTTTCTGTCTTTACCAAGGACTTTGTGAGATGGGTGGGCACATAGTCTGTTTCTAGTAATTTATGAGCCAGTTCTTCTACTATCTGTATTAATATCCATATTCTTGAGTTGTAAAGAATTTCAGATCTTATTTGACTCCTGAATTTATATTCTTCAGTGCTAGGAGATAAGTAAGTCTGGAAAGCAGTAAGACTGGATCAATTTGCAGCATTTTTAAGTTCAAAGAAGTTGTTTCTCAGAAGGAGATGTATAATAAATTTCCTGTTTCTCTCCTTTCCAGTTGTATGTAGTTTATCAGATTTAACACAACCAATATTTATAAAAATAATTACATTAAAGCTATAATCATCATTCAAATTGGAAAAAAAAATTCTTTAAGGATTTAAGTGTCTTTTAATTGCTTAAAAGAAAAACTGGTTTCCCAAGTAAATAAGAAAACACTTTTTAGATCTTTAAAAGCGTTTGTTATAGTTAATTTTATTTACAAGTAATTAAAATATTGACTAGTTATGTATGCTGCTGGGACTTAAAGCTATAGTGCTGTGATTCCCAAGCTGTATGCCCAGGCACCCCATGTGCTCCAGCTAACACAGAGAGGGAACCGTGGCAAATTCAGTGTTACTCCACGTTTGTTGAATACGGTATAGTCTGTACTATAAATAGTACACAATTTCAACATTAAATAGTAATATATTATTTTCTGTGGCATCGTATCTTTGTGAATCTGGTTTTTCTGGGTTTGCTGTGGTAAAAAATAAGATACTGTGCGAAAATCATTGTGGAACAGGAAATGAGGTTGTGAATGAGGTGTCCAATGTGAGTTCAAGGTTTGTGAAATTGTACAGTGCACTACAGGCATACTACATGCTCAATTAGTAATTAATTGTGGTTATTAAAGAATGAAATAAAACTTTTTTCCTTTCATGTATACTGTTTTTTCAAGTTGCTACTAAGTGTTGGAACATAAATCTTTGTTAAACTGTTTGGCATAACTACTTATTAAACAGAATGATTAGTTATTTCTGTTGGTTTAGGAAGTACAATAAAAAAAATTACTGAGATACTGAGGTCACTGTAAATCAAGAAAGTTTTGGAATCTTTGCTATCCGGACATCTTAAATTTTAATTTTTTGTAAAGTCTAAAAGTAACTTCTTTCATCTAGAGTTTTTCAGAAGACCAAGTTCGCCCTCTAGAGGTAAAAACAGGGGTCTTGCTATTGAAGGTTTGTATTCTTGACTTTATGGTGGTTTACCTTAAATATGCATGTGCATATACTTTTATATCTTTATGTAAACTAATATTCTGTGACATTTTATGACCATACATCTCTAAATAAATTACTAGCTGTATAATTATCTGTTTACTGATATGCCTATGCCTTTAATCTACTGTTTTCATGTTGGAAAGCCAAGGCCTCACATTCTTTCTCCTTTATATGTATATAATGTATATATACTTTGAAAATTTGATGAGTGGTCAGGAAAAGAACAACTCTTATTTCCATAGGGAAGAAGGAGTGGAGTTGAAATGCAGTTGGTATCCTCCAAAACCCTTTTCTGGCCTTTTATAGATGATGATTTCTCTTCGTTGCTTCTTTTAGTTTTTGAGCTTTCCAGTCGTATGTAGGTACGAGTGTGTACAATGGTGTCTTTTTCATGGTTCTGTTTGTTTTCTGGAGGGTGTGATGGATAGCAAAGTCATTGTTCTTCTGACCGTTCTCCACCCTCAAAATATATCTCTTTCACCATGTGATGGAATATGTTTCTGCCTCTCCCTTCCTGCTTTCTCCTTCCCTACTGTGTGTGTCCTCTACTCCCCACTTGTCTCACTTTGCTGTCCTCTTCCCTGCAATTGTCATTTTCAAAGTCGACAGCATTTTCTTTTGTTAGTAATAGTAAATTTACCGCTTTGCGTCTCTGTTCCTACTTGAAAACATTTTTTCACAGACCTGATTTCTAAACTCTGTAAAACATTATGAATGTAAAACTATATTCAAGATCCTTGATCATGTACTCCTTTTAAATATGTGTTACAATATGTGTTAAATATGTGTTTTGGAATCAGGAATCAAAAATGATCTTACCACTAAAGCCATGAAGAATGTTAGGACATGTCTGTCATGTTTTAGGGTACAGTCTTAAGCCATTAATGTTATAGAAAATTAAGGTAGACAGTAATTCTAGTGTAAAATTGCTTGAAAAAGTGAGGCAGTGATAAAAGTACTGAGGAAAGTTAGATTCCTTTGAGCTTTCTGAAGATGCCTCATTTGGTTATTGAGTGGCAAAACAGTAAGATTTGTTACAATGTTAGAGCAGTAGTAGTATTTTATAGGGTAATTATTTTATAGCAAATATTCAGAAAGGAGTTGCTATATTCTTAAGGATAAGTACATATTTGGGGGCTAGAATTTTTTTTTTTTTGGTGGAAAGACACCTGTAAGATTATAAAGTGAACTAGAGAGTAAGTAAGTTTTGATATACAAACTTTTTCCCCTAGTAATTGTTAATTACAGAAATAACACGATTATGTTCTCTATATAAAGTATAAAACATTATAGGAATGTATGTCTCATTTCACTTTCCCTACATGTTTTTAGGCCTTTTAAAATCCAATTTTTATGTGGAAAACATGATTATTTTCATGTGTGTAAATTTTTACGTGTATGGTGTTATGTATTTTTTTCAAGAACAAAATGTTACTATATATACATTTTGGGGGGACTTATCTAACTTTTCCATGTTTTGCACCTATAACTTTTTGAAGATTTATGAAATTCAAAAGTGAAAGATACTTGTAGATTAAATATTTTTTAAATTTTATTCTTGTAGTAAATTTTATTAAATGTCTAAATCAATTTTAGTGCTTTCCATGTTAATGGTAAAGAAATATAAAAATCACTTTAGGTAACAGCAAAATCAGATTGACTCAAGCTTGGCATTTAACTTGACAATCAACTCCCAAATCACATGAATATTCATAATGTTATTTTATGAGGATTATCACATGTGTTCTCTTGCAGGTGTGAAATTCCTGCTTGTGGCCATTTGAACCAGTTGGTGAGCCATGTTAAAAATTGCATCTATTAATTATGAATAATATTTCAGTTATATGGTAGTTCAATTGACCTAAGTTTTTGTTTTTTCTAAATTAATAGGCTGAAGTTGGAATGCAGCTACATAGTTTGTTTCATGATTTCCAAACTGCAAGTGAGAATTATTTCAAATGAGCCATGTTATGTATAATTGTAACATGATTGCATATTAGTTGAGTATACTCTATTTATGTCAAACTGACAATCTTGCAGTAGAAACTGATTTTTTTGCTTGGCAATTTTTATATTGGCATCTTTAATGAGAAAAGGAGGTTGTACCATGAATGACTGAAAAATTGTACTGAACACTGGAATTTGACACAACATTGTAAAATGATTATAAATCAATAAAAAATGTTAAAAAAAAAGAAAAGGAGGTTGTAGTACTTAGATGATGTTTCATGTTTTTCATCACTCATGTCTTTTTCTGAGTGATGTATTACTTCAGTGATTGAATCACTTTCACATAACTTTTGAAAGGCAAGGGAAAAAATGTTTTAAAACAGCGATTTCTTAATCTGAGCATTTCATATTGTCTAAAAGTAGAATAAGTCACTCTCCTCAATTAAGCCTTTGATTTTAAAATTTTTTGCTTTGGGAACAATAGCATTGTGGAAAGGACTAGAATACATGTCCTTTGTGAGCAGTTATGTTAAATATATAACATCTTGCAAGTGGTAGAGCTTAATTTTCTGGTTACTAACTTTGTTGGTGTGTGTAGCATTAGGACGCTTGAAAACAGCTTGTTGGTTTTAATTACATTTAAATATAGATACGATAGGTGTAAAATTTGAGCACTGCAGTAAATTGTGGAGGGGCTGGATTACTTTCAGGATTCATTTTTGATAAGTCCTTAAAATTGTTATACACTTGCATGTTTTTTTCACTTTTATTTACCTAATGTATCCTCACCTTGAAAAGGTAGTTAATAACTACCTTTCTAGCTGCATGTGTGTTCCTTATTTATACTTAATAAGTTATATCTTTCCTATGTATAAATAAATAGATTTCATAAAAGTTAATTTGTGTGGTCTGAAGATTGAGAGAGGAATTTATAACAGCTCTGGGCCTGTGCTTCTGGGAGAGGGGGAAAGTATGAACTTTAAGAGGGAAGGTTAAATTAGTTAAAGAAAAAACTAAATGAATAAAAATAATAAGTTCCCATAAAATGAACAGGACAGGATTTGGGGGAAATTTTTTTTATATTGTTGGAGACAGAGCCTTGGAAAGGAGTTTCAGTTTGAAAATACTTACTTGCTGTTTGATTCCATACATAGTTTGAGTATCAGAGTTACAGTAGAAGTTGTATTCATTCTATCTTTATGTCAGATTTGTATGTTGTTAGGCTTCAGATTACACTGAACAAACAAGATTGTACTGATAACTTTGCCAAAATGAAGTTTGTTAAGGGACTTCTGTATGCCAGAGGTGATGAAATGCTTTGCCTGAAGGTTTCAGTTAAGCTTGAATTCTGGGATGGGTTCTATTTCTTCTAATAAACACATTCTGGAATAAACCAATAAAGGCATCCTAATCAGCTAAACCCTCTCTACTCCAAGCATGATTAATTTCCCTGGCTCTTAGATCAAGTGGTATAAGAGTGCTTCTTTATCTTGAGCAGACATGGTCTTGAGGTGATAGAGATATCCACATGGGGAGTTTCTTCCATTTCTGAAACATCATTCTGGCTCTCTGTAAATTGTCCACAGAATACAGAAGTAGGAGGGTTTACTTACTGATGTGGGTTTAATAGTTAATCCCTTTAGGAGGAGTGTTCTCACTGTCCACTGAAACTCAAAAGTCACGGCAGTGTGTATATCAGGCTATTTTGACTTTGACATTGTCTTTTGAAGAGAAGCTCCTATTCTATTTCTTCTCCCTAGCCTATATTTTACTTTGAGAAGCTAATCAAAGACTCCTGCCTCCCTCCCTTTGAACCCATAGACTGATCTTGTCTCACATTTCGCTCCTAGTACACGCTCTTTCTGGTGAATCCCTTTAGATACAGAACCCAAGGCATCAGAATGTGGTGGAATACCATTCTGCCACTTACTCACTGTGTGACCTCATATTAGCAAGCTCTAAACCTTTTCTCTAGCAGACCTTGAAGGACAAAATTCTTTAATTGATCCTAGATTCCTAAGATGGTCTGACTTTCATTTTGATGAATATATAATGTATTCAACATTACAATAGACATGATTCAGGTTCTTGGAATATAGATAAATATAAGTCTGAGCCTTTCAGTTATTCTAGTATAACTGTGGACATGAGGGGGAAGGTTCATATATAGTTTTAATGTAGTGTAGTAAGTGCTGTAGTAGAATTGTGAACAAAGTTTGAGAGTAGAGATGAAAGAGTGGATAATTTTCTGCACAGATGACAGGTGATTTGTGTTCTGAAGTGTGCTAGTAGAAGTTCACTAGATAGACAAGATGGGAAAGCCTTTCCAGATAGAGGTGGTTGAATGAGCAACAGGAATGCATAAGACTTGTTTATTGTTTAGCTTAGTATTAGGTCAGTATTTCAGGGAGGTAGGGTAGATAGTGAAGGTCATTAGCCACAAAGCTAGAAAGTTGGGTTTTAACCAAAATACTTCTAAATAAGGCAGTAAGACATCAAATCCATATATTAGAAAAATTCTGGAGGCATTATAGAAGTTATAAAAGAGTAGGTTTGCGAACAAGGACATTAAGATTAATTATGGTACTTTATGATTCTGATTCCCACAGTGGAATACCTAGGAAATGTGTTAAGAATACAGATTACTCAGTGCAACCTTGTATCAGGCAGCCCGACCCTGACCTAAAGTAAATTCCCAGGAGACTTTTTCCCTGGGTTTTGAATTTGCAGTAACAGGTGTGAACATTCTAGCAGCCATTTGATGATCATGTATGATACTGCAAACAGGACCAAAAAAAAAAAAAAACAGATTTCTCGGCCCCATACTTTGAGTTCTTAATGTCAGTTATGTGATTTTCAATTCTTGTGTTTGTAGTTGGTTCTTTTTCAAATCTACTATATCACTTTTTACAGTTTACAGTTCCCTGCTGACATTTCAAGCTTGACCTTTATCTTCTTAAACATAGTAAGTATAGTTGTTTCATAGTCTGTGTCTGATAATTCCAATGGCTGGAAATTCTGTAGGTCTATTTATATTGAACACTGATTCTTCTAGTTTTTATCATCAGATGCTGTTTTATCTCTGTGTGTACCTGGTTACCTTTTGGGTGCTGGATGTGATATTTGAAACATCATATGTAGAAAACAATTTGAAGGCTAAGGTGACCATCCTTCAGAGATTTGAATTTATGTCTCTCAGGTCCCTGATGGCACTAGCTATCTAGTTTTTTCGTCCATCCAGATGAGATAAAGCTCAGATGCATTCTGTTTTGGCCGTTTTTCTTATTAAATTGTAAAATTTTCAGATTGTTAAACTAACTTTGCATTCCTGGGATAAACTCCAGTTAGTCACAGTTATTATCCATTTTGTATGTTGTTGGATTCAATTTCCTTTACACACACACCTATATATATATTTTAATGAATAAGCTATTTTTAGAGCAGTATTGAATTCACATAAAAATCGAGCAGAAATTACAGAGAGTTTCTGTATGTCCCTTCTCTCCCTACACATACAACCTCCTTTACTATTGACATCCTACACCACAGTGTGGTACATTTGTGTACTGTGTGGTAAACAGTGAACCTACATTGACACATCATTATCACCCAAAGACCACAGTTTACATTAGGGTTCACTCTTGTTGTACATTCTATGGGTTATGACAAATGTATTATGACATGTATCCACAATTATAGTATTATGTAGAAGTTTCACTGCCCTGAAAATCTCTGCTCTGCCTATTTGTCCTCCCTATTCCCCTAACTCCTGGTAACCAATTATCTTTTTGCTATCTCCATAGTTATGCCTTTTCCAGAATGTCATATAGTTGGAATTATACAGTAGTACAGTCTTTTCAGATTGACTTCTTTCACTTAGTAATAGCCATCCAAGTTGTCTTCATGTCTTTTCATGACATGAAATTTTTTTAAAATGCTGAATAATATTCCATTGTCAGAATGTACCACAGTTCATTTATTCATTCACATCCTGAAGTACATCTTGGTTGCCTCCAAGTTTTATCAATAATAAATAAAGCTGCTGTAAACGTCTGTGTGCAAATATTTTTGTGGATGTAAGTTTTCATTTCATTTGGATAAACACCTGATTGCTGGATTGTACGGCATTTTAGTTTTGTAGAAACAGCCAAATTGTCTTCCAGGGTAGCTGTAGCCATTTTGCATTTCGGCCAGCAATGAATGAGCGTTCCTGTTGCTTCACGTCCTCACCAGTAGTGGGTGCTGTCAGCATTTTGGATTTTGACCATTCTAATAGGTGTGTGGTGGTATCTGATTGTTGTTTGAATTTGCAATTCTCAATTAACATATGAAGTAGAGCATTTTTAATGTTTACTTGATATCTGTATATCTTATTTAGTGAGGTTTCTTTTCTGATCTTTCGCCAAAAGAACTCAGTAGAGTTTTAGGAGATTTAGTATAGCAGTCCTTTATTCAGATATATGTTTTGCAAGTATTTCCTCCCAGTCTGTGTCTTGTCTTGTCTTCTCATTCTCTTGACAGTGTCTTTCACAGAGCATAGGTTTTTAATTTGAATGAAGTCCTGCTTCTCATTTATTTCTTTCATGGATTAGTCTTATGCCTTTGGTCTTATATCTAAATAAAGTCATCATCATACCAAAAGTAATCTAGGTTTCCTCTTATCTCCTAGTAGTTCTCTAGTTTTCTGTTTTACATTTAGGTCTATAATCCATTTTTAGTTAAAATTTTTGTGGAGAGTGTAAGGTCTACATCTAGATCCATTTTTTTTTTTTTTACGTATGGATATCCAGTTATCCCACACCATTTGTTGAAAAGACTGTCTTTGCTCCATTTTATTACCTC